ATTAATACGTACATTCACAACAGTTTAAAATCGTCCAATTTTAAACATTTAATTTATTAAATGCATTATTATAAATGTTATAAATAAAACATTACAGTTTTAATGTAATAATTCTAACTCTAAAAGCTCAGTTAACTAAAATTAAGTTAAATAAATTTAAGCTTTTTATTAATATATAAACATACAATATTTACCATAAATAAACTCCACTCTAATAGCATAGCAATTGTGATCATGATGTTTGTTATTGCATTTCAAAACAATACTAAATAATCCGGTATTTATAACATCGGGATTCTTTTCAAAATCATTAGTTAGACGACTGGCGCACAGGTATGGCGTGAGGCTCGGCAGCGGTTCAATAGTCCTTAGGTCAATATCGATCACTATTCATATTGGAAAACATCATTGTTAAATTACAAAACAAGTTTAACATTAAACAAAATAAATGAAAATATTTATACTAGTAAACTAAACTTTTAAATTCAAATATACATATATTAATTTTTATTGATTACTTACCAGGTTGCAATTTTGCTTGTTCAATTTCTAACTGTTTAAATTTGTGTCTCAACACCCGGTAAACGGGTCGCGATTTATCGACGTTAACGTATCGGACAATATGTTTCCACGAATAATGTTGTGATAATTCATGAAAACTGAGTTCCCATTTATCATGGTCATCTATTATTGATTGGCATGTTGGTCGTTTTGTATAATGTAATTTATTTAACATTTTATATATCATGTTTAATAAATGTGGACATTTGTCGCTTATCAAGGGCACTTTCTTAAATCGATCGTGTTTTCTATGATTTAATAATTGTATAGTACATTAGTGTATTATAATCAGTTAAATAACATAATTAATATAATTAAGTTAATATTATCATAATTATTAATTTACTTAAACAAAAAGAGCTAATAAAACATTTCTATGTAAATATGAAAATTATATAATATAATTTAATACGTTAATTATTAGCTGTAAAAATACTTAGAAGTTGTAAGTTTATTTAATTAAAATGTAATTGTTTTATAATACGGATCTGAATCTCAGGCTATTACATTTTCAAACTATTACATTTATAAACTAATGTATATTTTTGTAACTGATCATGATATTGATATTTTTTAAGATTAAAATTTATAAAAGAGAAATTTCATTATATTAATTAAAACAAATTCATATTTGTATTAAATCTATGAATAAAACTGTACGTAAAGCTGCAATTCTAAACTGTGTATTAACTAATCGTGAAATATTAGAAAATTGGATAACAAGTAAATAATGTTAATAAATAGTATTTAATGTTTGACTAATAATATTTTTATTATGAAAAATAGCTAGATTTACAAAATTTAAAGAGAGAGAAAGTTACGTAAATAAAAAAATACATACGTTAATTCATTGACAAAAAACAATTGCTCGCAAATAACTCCCAGACTATACACATCGGATTCACATTTATTATGGAGACCTTGCTCAATTTCCATAGCTTTATACCGAGAATACTCATTCATATTACCAGCACCGAATTTACCATAATAATCCAGATGGATCAATTCAAATCCGCTTAATTTAAAACCAAAATCATTTGAATTATTAAGATAAAATAATAAATTATTCGGAGTTAAATGACCATGCACAATTGTCGGTGTGTGTTGGTGTAAATAATTTAGCGTGCTTAAAATACTATTCAGTATTTCGCAAGCTATATAATATTTAATACTAAATTTGTGCTGGTAATTTTGATTATAATTGCTGAAAGCTTCCATGTTTTGCATAATATAAGCCAGATTTGTATAACAATACTCCATTTGAATGTACAGACAGTTATCTGTTAACCATGGTTGGTGATATTTCACAAAACCATCATGTGTTATATGAACTAAGTCAGTAATGCCCCTGATCAATTCTTTCTCGCTTAATATATCTATATAAAAATAAATTTATAAACTATAAGATATAATTTATTTTATGCAATTACTTACCCCAAACTTTATAGATTTTAATTAAATATAATTGACCATCACCGCGACCTTCTATGACCTTGGTACCATAATCACCAAGGTAAAGCATTTGTGTTTCGGTAAATCTTTTATGCAAATGATCTTCTAATTCATCATACTCATTTGTTAGTATATTCAATGTGGTGTTAATAACAGATTTTGTTACTGATTTGTATGTTATTTTAAATTCAGTTGAGTAGTAATCGCTAAACTTTATATAACTCGTCTTGATGAATTTGTTAATTTCCACGTTTAAAGCGTAGATAAAATCAGATGATCTTGCTGATACCAAATAATTACCATTTTTATGTTGGGTAATACATATTTTATCAAATAACTCAATGTTTTGTACAATATGCAACTTGTTATTACCACGATCGTTTGATCCGTAATAAACTATCTTACCACTTTTTGACAAAAAATATGTACTAATATATGAGCATAGCACATTTTTAATGCCACTATTTAGAGGGTAATGAATTTTAACAGGCACATTTTGCGTTCTATTCATAATATTCGGACCTAATTGTCCATGGTCATTTGCACCCCAGCCGTAAATAATGCCACGTGATGTTATGGCCAGTGAGTGATTAGCACCGGCGCTAATCAATGTAAATTGTGCATTAATATTGCAAAATAAACGCACAGGTTTGCAGTAAAATGACCTATCAGACTCATTGATACCAATCTGACCAAGACCATTGTCGCCCCATGCGTATACATGGCCATCAGTTGATAATGCTAGAGTGTGGTTCCAACCACAAGCAATTTGTATAAATTTAGTGTTTGTTGCAAAATTGATCTTGGTCGGCTTTTGTATTTGTTGACTATTCCCTGTGCCGCACTGGCCGGTGCTGTTATTGCCCCAGGTGTATATATCACCATCATGGGTTAGTCCAACAATGTGGGACATTCCTGTGTAGTGATTTAATGTATCATTATTTATAAATTTTTTATATTATTCCGTTGCTATTTTATAATTATAAAGTTAGATAGAGCAACTTGAATTATATAGTTACATATATAGTTGTATATTATATCAGCATTACTGTATACATAAATATATGTTGTAAAGTATTTGATACTTTAATTAAATTACAATCTAACTATTTAAAATAAAATTATTTAAAAATAATAAACATTCTTCTTCTTATGCCAAAGTATTAAATTAAATTTAAATTAGTATATTTTAAAATTATCATATAATTATTGTAACAGTCTGTAAATTCCTATTATGTTTTATATTAAGTTAATAATATTTAATAAATAAAATTTTTATAGTCATTAAAAAGTTGCTAGTATATAAAACAACAATACCATTAAAAAGTGAGCATATATTGACAGAGCAAAGTGCGTCCACACGTGTCGGTTGCGGCACATATTGCCGGTGATTAAAACCGAGACAACCCGTGCTGTTTGAGCCGTAGGCAAACACTTCGCCATTATTTGTAATGTAAATATAATTTTTACCACAATTATCATCAAAAACATGATAAAACACCACATTTTTGTAGTCAATATTACCGGCGAAATAGCCGGTAAAATGTCGTAAATTAGTAGACATTTTTAAAATTAACAATTACATATTTTGTATATTTTTAACCTTAATGTAATTTTTATAGCACATCCAACAAATAACTTGTTTGATTTAATGTATAGTTTTATTGGCATTTATTTGATGACACAGTTACTATCACAAAATATAACACATAAGTTATTTGTTCTACCTTTATTTAGCCTTATTCTATGTGAAAACTTATCAACATGAAAATATGTGGTGTTGCAAAACAATATTATAAATGTAATATAGCTAATATAAAACACTGATAACAATATACACACTTAATAAAAGGCACCTTATTTCTATTAAAATAACAAATCTCTTGATTCTTGTTTAATTAAATGCCAATTCACTAATAATAATATTTCATAGAAAGTGTATGGCAAGTATTTTAATAACAACCACACCTTATTTTTTATTGCAAGCTACATTTTATTGTCACTATGATTTTATTTAAAGGTTATTTAAGTATCTTATAAATACAAAAATGTGTGTTCATGTAACACAATAATATTAATATAGGAATAATAATATTATCAATAAATACAATATTAATTAATATATAATAATTTAAAACTATTTCTTAATGATAAAAATAATTTCATAAAAAATTAATAATTAAAAGAAAATAATTATGTAAACATTTTACTAGTTGCATTATATTCACAATTTGCAAAACAAACTTAAATATTAACAAAAATTTACTACTAAACTGTCACCAAATTTACAAGTCTAACATAATAATAGTGATAAATTTAGATCAATTAAAATTTGGCTCTAGAAAGCGCGGTCTATTATTTTAAGTGTAAAGTATATGCTATTAATATGCATTATAAATAAATTAATAAAATAATTATATTATTATTAATATAATAAAAATAAAATAATAAATAATTTGTATTTTAAATTATTTAATACACAAATTGACATGAACAATAGAACAAAATTGTTTTCTAACTTAATAAGTAAGATCTAAATTCATTAGTTTGGTCATACAAACTTAAATACAAACATTATTTAATTTACTAAAATACTGTTAACTAATTTACAAAGCCAACATAATCTGGAGAAAGAACCGATCTAGTTCAGAATAAAGGGCGGGCATGAGTGGGCAAGTTACTTTCACTTTTATATATGCGATCGTAAGTCAGAAAATATTTTTATGATTTTTTAAATATAAATACATAATACTTAAAACATTTAAATCAATTTTTAATTAAAATATATTAAAAATTTAATGTAAAACTTAACGAAAAAACTGACATACGACCGCATAGATTGTATAAAAGTGATTTTCCCGCACATGCCCTTGCCTAAACAATCTATACACGTATAGTAATACATTCTGATAATTATTAAATTTACACAATTGTTTGCAAATTTAACTCAAATATCAATTATTTTCATTTTAACTTAATGCCATTTACTCCATTTTATGCGTGTAATATGCTTTTAAGTAGTCATTTTTATCAAGTTGAGCTAGGCCAGTTGTGTCAGCCTGAACCTGATCCGTATTGTACATTATAGGTAGCGCTCGAATCTGATTTAAAATATCTGAACACGTGGGCCGCTGTCCGGACACACCGCTCAACATTTGCCCGATTATACCCTTTAATTCGCTATACGTGTCGTATCTGATAAAAATACAACAAGATAATTAAAAATTATTTATAAATTAGCAACATGAGTTAATTTATAACTATTTACTTATTAATGTTCACGTGAAATAATTCAACCAGTATCAAACCAATTGAGTACACGTCAGCCTGTGTAGTATATTTACTGCCCACGTGTACTTCCGGCGCCCTGTAGAGTGACCAGATTTAGATAGATTTAATAAATTTCTATAGAGTATCATTTCATTTTTACCTGTAATCCTTATCACCAGCACTTTGTGTATTGGATTGATCTGGGTATAATTGCATTTTAGCCATGCCAAAGTCACCAATTTTAATCCAATTAATACCACCTTGCTTTAACAATATATTGGACGGTCTCAGATTTCTATGTAATATTTTGTTTTTATGTAAATACTCAACGCCCTCGATTATTTCTTGGGTTAAATTATGGACGATAAAATATTCCACGAGGCTAATTTGTTGGTTAAATTTGCGACCAAATATAGCTAGTTTGTTATCAATTATTTGTTTTAAATCGCACTCGCATAACTCCATTTGTATGTAAATTTTAGTTATGTTACTCAGGCCACTCTCCCGCCACCAATCATAATATTTGATCATGTACGGTGAGTCAAGTTTTGCTATTATTTGAAGTGTTGGTAAAATGTGCGACATTTCCAGATCATCTACAGTTTATTTTAAATGTACCATGTCGGATAAATTGTTTAATTGCAATTATTATTTTGAAAATAAATATTTTAGTTTACCTTGGAGCTCATACATCTTTATAGCACAAATTTTGGCACCACTTTTAGATGTAACATGATGTACAATACCAAATTCACCTTTTCCTAAAGTGTTTATAATTGTAAAATGTCCGTTAAAATGACCAGGTTTTACGGGTATAACCCGATTAATGTTTGGTTGTAATATATTTTTAACAACCATCTTTTAGTTTTATAAAATTATTTCTATAGATAATGTATATATACTTAATATAATTTCCGTTATACTGTATGTTCTATTTAACAAGCATGATAGTTGCTTGGTTATCCTACTGATAAACAATAAGTAAATGTAATAAGTAATTGTTTTATATATCGTATTAAAGGTAATACACATTGTTTGTTATGTGAAAACATTTATTATAGCTCATTGTTTTTCCAAAAATTGTTTATTTCAAAATTCATGGAATATTTATTTCATTACAAAACAACAACTACTTATTTATCAAAGATTATTAATTCACTTCCGCTAAAATATTTAAATTGAATGTTAGTTTGTCCATGTTTAATTATAATATCAATTATAGCTTTCTATAATAGTAAACAATAATTTTGCCATAAACAATATTAAATACAATGTATAATGTTTAAAATGTTGAATCATTAGTGATAAGACATTATTTGTAGTCCAAAAATAATATGATTATTGAATTTTTATTTCATAACAATAATTATGTTGTTTATGTTGTTAAGTAATATTTAATTAATTAAAATAAAAATTTGTTTAGAAATTATGTTTAGTAATATAATTACAAATATTAATTAATTAATTAGAGAGAGAGAGAGAGAGAGAGAGAGAGAGAGATCATAAACTGTAATGAAATTTTAAAAATTAAGTTCTATCAATACAATAATGTTTAGAAATACATATATTGGTATACATTACTTTAATTAATTATAATTAAGTATACATTCATTCATTAAATTTTAATCTAGTATTAACAAGTTTGTTAAATATTAGATTTTAATCTAAATTTATCATTAAAATATTTTTTAAAGTAATTATTTTTCAAATTCTCCAGACAATTAATACCACCATGATCCGCGCTCACAGCAGCCACATCATAGATAATAGGTTGTTGTTTAATAGTGTCAAGCACATCTGAGCATGATGGTCTATCGTCAGCAATTGCTGACATCATACGGGCCAATAAGTTTTTAAGAGGATCATGCACACCTGGCCTATTAAAATATAGTAATATTTTTGATTAATTAATAAAATATTTAAATAAAGAATATTAGCATGTTAGAATATAATTAATAAACTAAATAATACTTGGAAATTTCAAGCTTGAGAAAGGCAACAAACATCACGCCCAGACCGTACACATCTACGAGTGTGGTATAGTGACTACCGGTGCCCACCTCTGGGGCCATGTAAGCCAAGTTACCCGTGCCCTTTGTATGCGATTGCGACCCTGATTCAATTGCCTTAGACAGACCGAAATCGCATATTTTAATTGTCCAGGTGTCCTGGTTGTTTTGCAGCAGAATATTTGTCTCTTTAAGATCACGGTGCATTATGTCCAAACTGTGCAAATATGCCACACCCTGCAATATTTCTTCGATCATATTGAGCGAGATAAAATACTCTACTGGCCCTATGGGTAGTCCCCATTTGCGCTTAAATGTGTTGCCCATGTCTATTATGACCTTGGCTAGATTGTAGCTGCAGTAATCCATCATGATGTAAATTTTGTTTTTTGATTTACTTTGCTCGCGCCACGATTTATAATAGCGGACTATATTAACATGGTGACAACTTTCCAATATGCTAATTTCCCGTTCGATGTGTTCTTTATTTTCATCATTTGCTTATATAAATTAATTATAAAATTAATAATTATAAACTTTTAAGCATTAAACTTGTTAAAAAATTTCTTTTCAAAAATTAATATTATCAGTATCATCAATTTAATTATTTAAAATATCATAAATAGCCTATTGTTATATAAATAGTAATTAGTAATTAAAATAATAATAAACAAGTTGACAAAATAAAATACCTAAAATCTTGATTCTTTTAATAGCGTAAATTTTATTGTCCGTTTTTGACGTAGCATGATACACAATGCCAAAGTATCCTGAGTCAATTGCCCTAAATGTAAAATCACGGCTAAATTTACCATTGTCAATTTCCATGATTTAATATTTATTTATACAAAAAGTAAATTAATTAATGTAGATAAATTATTAAATAGTCTACTGAATAGATATTTTTTAAATCCACCTTTGTTATTTAAAATAATAGTTATTATCCTTACAACAAAAGGAGAATGACTAATCTGTTTGCGGCATAGTGCCTCCCTAGAAAGTGCCGCGCTATGCATTTCCCACTAATTTGCAAATATTTAAATTTTTAATTATACACATTTATTTCATTTAGTAATAATACATTTATATTTGTATTTAAAAAATTTTAATCTAAATTTTTAATTTAATAAAAATTTGTAAATATTTTTATTTTAAAATTTTTATTACAAATATAAATGTATTATTACAAAATCAAATAAATGTGTATATTTAAAAATTTTAATATTTGCAAATTAGTGGAAAATGCCTAGCGCGGCACTTTCTAGTGAGGCACTGTGCCGCGAACAGATTAGTCATTCTCCAACAAAAGTGTTACTGAAAACTATTAGATAAGTTTAAGTAGTAACCAAAGATAGTTGTGAAATAGATAGATCTTAAATTTTATTATGTAATAAATTAATATTCTTTTGTAGATTATTTATAGGTACAATAAAAACAATTATATTTTTAGTATATTATAATTAATTAGATTTAAGCATAACTAAAGGTTAACCATAACTAAATATTAAATATTGCATACAATATATACTGTATATATTAAATTTAAAATAATTAATTTATAATTATTTTTTAACATTTTAAATAATAATGCTAAATGCACGTTAAATTTTGAAATAACATTTTATTAATATTATTATGGATTAATAAAGATTGATTTAGAAATATAGTGTATAACTTATTAAAATATCATAGCATTGGATGAGTTGAAGTTTAGCTGCTAAACAAACTGTAAATCACATTTGAAATAATTCTTTTAATACAAATCAATATTTAAATGTATCATTTATGGGACCCAAACAACTAGAGCGTTTTAATTATTTAATTAACACTAAAAATTTTAAGTTTCTTTCTAAAAGTAACTCTCTCTCTCTCTCTCTCTCGTGTTAATTATCAGATTTTAATTGCATT